CCCCATGACAAAAATTAAATAAATATGTTTTTTAAAACAGTCTTTCTAAAAGCGCACCAAAAGTCTGAAAATAAAGTAAAAAACAACAAATGGTCTGGTAGCACTTTATAGACTAACAAAACATGTAGATGGTATCATGAGCTTTCGTGGGCACAGCCTGCTTCTTCAGATGACTGGAGTTATGAGTAGGGGAAATGAAACCCCATGACAAAAATTAAATAAATATGTTTTTTAAAACAGTCTTTCTAAAAGCGCACCAAAAGTCTGAAAATAAAGTAAAAAACAACAAATGGTCTGGTAGCACTTTATAGACTAACAAAACATGTAGATGGTATCATGAGCTTTCGTGGGCACAGCCTGCTTCTTCAGATGACTGGAGTTATGAGTAGGGGAAATGAAAACTAGAAATAAATAGAAGGGGTGGGGGGAGGAGAAAGATGCTCCTTTTTTTTTAAGTATCTGGAGAAGGGATGCTAAACCTGATGTAGAAGCTGTAGAAACCTTTTCATATTTAGCTAGAAGCCATCTTGTATCACAGAAACCATTTCAGCTTTTCTCTCAAGCACGTAGACCAGAGAGAACTTTCTGTCACCCCGTGAGAAGAGGCCTACAGGATGGGCTATTGGTATGTGTTAATTGGGCTGGTTGGGACAGGAGATGTACTCCCTCGTACCTGTCCGCCATCTTGTTGATAAGGCTTTGTTTTTCCAAGTTTAATTGAGGATTTCTGTAATTGGATGCCCTGACGTCAGACTTTTTGGTTAAGGGTATAAAGATACTAGGATTGATTGTATTAGCAGCCTTACTGGGCCTGGCTTTGCTGGGACCACATTTGGCTCATGCTGTGCTTTATTAATTAATAAAGCTGTTTGTTAGCTGCCTAAACAGAGAGGAGCGTTTTTTTGTTTCAACACTGAGCAGATAAAAATCAAAGTCAGTAGACAGATAGATAGCTAAGGCAGGAAGGATACCATTCAGAAAGCTGTTAGCACCTTCAGTGATAAAGAATCCACCATCCTGTATCTAGATTGAGCCTATTAGCATGCGAATTGAATTTGTATGTGTATTGTAATTCCAAGCTTTCCCTGTGGATTTGATTAGAGGAGCTGGCCTGTAACAAGACTGCCACCTGCAGATCTGTTAGTTTATGGTTACGTAAGCAGAAATATTCTGCCACTGGTTTCTGAGTATTCCTTTTACGTATATCCGATTTGTCCCTTGATTCTGTCTCGCAGGGAATTGACCAATATATATAGCAGAGGGGCACTGTTAGCATTTGATGGCATAGATCAAATTTCTAGATGAGCAGTCAAATGACCCTTTGATTTTGTGGCTTATGTTGTTTGCTCGAGTGAATTCGATGAATTCGTCAGTGTAGATATGTGGGCAGAGTTGGCATCTTTTTTGGTTGCAGGGCTGGGTTCCTGGAGGTTTATAATGTGGTTGTGTGGCATGGTTCTTAGAAAGAATATGTTCCGTTCTCTGCTTATTTTCAGAAAGAGCAGCTCTGGTGCAAGAGGGTTTTTTTGTGCAAGAAAGAGTACTGTAGACAGCCCTGTTGTATTTGTGTGATGATGAGAGCAGCACACCTGGCTGTGTGGTGGCTTATTCAGTCCCTGGTGAGAGCAGGGAGGGCAGGCAAGGGACACCTGGCGGAGTTGGGTACTGGAGGCACTGTTTTGCAGTGGTTCCGGTCCTACCTGTTGGGACACTTATCAGAAGCTGCTGCTATTCGACCCCGTGGCGATTGTGCTATGGGTCCTGCAAGGTTTCATCTTGTCCCCTATGCTATTTAATATCTACATGAAGCCGCTGGGAGAGGTCATAAGGAGTTTTGGAGGACCATGCCATCAATATGCAGATGATACCCAACTCTATTTCCCTGTGACATTAGAACAGGTGTGGCGGTAACTGATTTAAATCAGTGTCTTGAGGCAGTGATGGTTTGGATGAAGTCAAATAAGCTGAAGTTGAACCCAGATAAGACTGAGGTCTTGTGGATCAGGAGGCTATCTGTTTGTCAATATGGCATGGCACCTGTTCTATATGGGGTTACTCTCCCGCTGAAAGAACAGATACACAGCTTGGGAGTCCTCTTGGACCCTTTTTTAACATCTGAAAAAAAGATTTCTTTGGTGGCCAGGAGTGCCTTTGGGCAACTTCGTTTGATCCACTAGCTGCGACCCTTTCCGAACAAGCATGACTTGGCCACAGTGATCCATGCTCTTGTTACATCCCGGACGGATTACTGTAATGCACTTTATGTGGGGCTGCCTCTAAAGAGTTTTCGGAAACTTCAACTGGTCCAGAATGCGGCTGCTCAAGTTTTAACTAACACTTGATGCCAGTGCTTCAGTATGTTTCCAGGCACAATTTAAGGTCTTAGTTATGACCTATAAAGCCTTAAATGAGTTGGGACCGGGGTATCTGAAGGACCGTCTTCTCCCATATGAACCTGCCCGGGGATTGAGGTCAGCTGGGAAGGCTTTGCTTCGTGTTCCCCCACTTGTGGAGATAAGATTAACATCTACGAGGAACAGTGCATCCTCAGCTTTTGCTCTTAGGCTGTGGAAGTCTCTTCCTTGGGATATTCGCATGGCGCCAATGCTAGTGTTGTTTCGGCGTCAGGCTAAAGCCACCCTTTTTATTCATGCTTTTATTAATGTTTGAGTCTGTATGTGTGTGTTCCTCCTCTTTATATGTTTGTAGCTGGTTATGTCCCTCTGCGGTCTCATATTTTAAATTTTTATATATATTTGTATTGTGTTTTTTTTTTGTAAGCCGCCTTGAATATTTTAAATAGAAAGGTGGGGTAAAAATATCGGCGATATACATCACCGCGCCTCAGTTGCATATCTTCTTGTGCAACAATGCAATGTAGATTGTTCCAGGTGCAGTAATATTGAAACTCAAGCCAGATATTGGGAGAAATTAATGTAACTCTGGCGTCTAATTTGTGCGTGGTTTTTCTAGAATAGCTAGACTCAGCGTTTGCCCACAAGGGCAGAGTCTAGCATGTGTGTCACCAGGGCCAAAGTTTGGGGAAACTGAGAGTGTGGAAAGGATTAAAGCCTCTTCTGACATGTCACCAATTGCCCTTCTCCCCCTGCCAGGTTACAAGACACCCGTCTCTGTCTCCAGCTCAGCCGTTGGCGCTGCAGGCCAGGGACAGGAAATGGCTGTGGCAGTGCTGATGAGCTTCGAGGAGGTGGCTGTGTATTTCTCTGAGGAGGAATGGGCTCTGCTGGATCCAGGTCAGAGAACCCTCTACTGGGATGTGATGCAGGAGAATTATGAGGCTGTGAGCTGGCTGGGTAAGGATTCCTATCCCTTCAGGTGGGCTCTGGTGCAGCTGGGTTGGGTTTGGTTCAGGATCCTTCATTTCTCCCAGCCCCAATGTCAGCAGTATGATCCCCAGGAATCCTGGCTCCTGTGTGAGAGACTGTCCCCTCCATGGCCCCTTTGGGGGAAGCAGGTTCAGGGACATAACAATGGTGCTGCTCTTCCCACACCCCAGGTCTCTGTGTGCTTCCCAGCATCTTGCTCCTGTTGTGCCTTGGCCAGAGCTCTCAGTGGAAGGGCCCAGGCAGGAACAGCAGATACCAGAGCTGTGGGGTTGGGTGTGGCTTCTGTTAGTGCCTGCAGAGTACCACTTGTGCTGTGGTGCTGAGGCCCTAGAAGGAAGGCGCAGACTCAGAGTCCTTTCCTGTCTCTGGTAGATTCTGTGTAGCCCAGTGGGGCACCTAATGGCAGGCCCAACTGACCACAAGAGGAAGCTGGGAAACCACACAAGGGCTGCTGCTGGCAGAGTAGAACTGAGGCTGCAGAGGGGGAGCTGAGCTGCAGCAACACCCACAAGCAGCAAAGAAGCAGCACAGCCCATCTCTGCCCTAGCTGGCCACAGGAACAGCTGGGCACGGCCCTGGTCGGCCATGGGAATGGCAGCTGTTGTGGGCAGCTGGCAGGGCCCTCCCATGCACAGTCAGTCAGGATCAGGAGTGTGGAGCATAGGCAGGGCCTGAAGCAACCAGCCAAGGGTTCATTTTTCTCCTCAGACAACTTCCCCTGCCTCCTTCTGGCCCAAGTAGAGCATCTGAGCCAAAGAGCAGGGTGAGCCAAGCCCCCCAGCCAGGAGCTTTGTGGACAGAGCCTTGGGGAGTTAGAGCTCTGCTGGGTCCTTCCTCTCCCAGCCCTCATGACCCACCATGTGGCAGCTGCAGTCTGAGCTCTGACTGGGGGCTTCAGTGTCAGACCTGCCAGCCTGCCCTAGAGCTCCTCTTCCTAGCAGTGTGTTCCATCGCAGGGCAGGACAGAAATGGGTCTTGAGAGAGACCAAGTTGTACCCTAGATCAGTGTTTCTCAACCTTTTTTTTTAAGTACCCGCTTTAAGAAAAACTAAGAGCCCCCAACACCTACAATTTTCAGACACACAACATTTTTTTAACTATTGGAACACATTTGTTTAAACAACTTGATCGTAGCCAGTTGGATGATGACATTTTTTAGTGTAAAAAGTAGAAAAATAATAAAGTGCTGTAAAACTTAAAAAAAATCAGTTTTCTCCAAATTTCAGTTGTGTTGACACACTCCCCAGACTTCTCTCAAATACTCTAAGGGTACTCGCACCAATGGTTAAGAAATGCCCTAGAGAGTTCAGCAGAGTGCTCAGCTCCCCTAAGGAACCAGCTCAGCCTTTTCCAAGGTAGGGGGGGATTCACCTTTATTGCAGGTGAGTGTGTCCTGGGATCTTGTACCAGCCAGAGCCCAGTCTCTGCAAGGTGAGGAAGGAGCCGCTATGGGTGGGCGACTCAGATCCTGACTCTGGAAGCAGTAATGGCATAGGCTGTAATGAACAAGATCAGCATTTGGTTAATTGCTCCCCAAACAGGATTTCCAGTCTCTAAAGCTCATGTGCTCTCCTGGGTGAAGCGAGGGGAGGAGCTACGGATCCCAGATCTCCAGGGCTGTGAGGAAGGAGAGGTGTGTGACATCCACACAGGTGAGCGATCAGCTAACTGATTCACAAACCAATTGCTGTGTTCTTCTGGCAGGTTTCACTTGTGCATTATCATCTAGTCTCACTGAACCTTCAGCCTGTCTTCAACTCCAATTTGAAGGTGGTGGGTGGGCAAAAGAGCTATGGAGAAGGAGGGTGAACTCAGCTCATGATTATTAAATCTTTCCAGCCATTTTTTAGGCGTGTTTCCCCTTTTCTATTTCTCTTTTAGTGTTTCCTTTCAGCTCAGCACAGGGAATGACTCCTGTCTGGATTCTCTGTCACAGCAGGTGATGGGATGCTGAGTGAGAACCATGAGAAGAATCTTCAGCAAGAAGAACCAGCGTGAATGACTCCATGTGGGATGTTATTCACGTAGCCCACAAATGCAGCAGGGAAACCATCCAGGAGAGGGGCAGAGTAAATCCAGTCACAGAAGCAGAGAGAGAAAAACAAACACAGAAACTGTTAAACAGAAAATCCCCCATCAACAGTCACCCTGCACTTGCAGTGACTGTGCAGCTCTTCTTACACAAGACAGAACCCTCACAGGGGAGAAACCCTTCAGCTGCCCTGACTGTGGGAAAAGCTTCATTTGTAGCTCAAAGCTGAATACACATAGGAAAATCCACAAAGGGGAGAAACCCTTTAGTTGTTCTGACTGTGGGGAAAGCTTCAGGTATAGTTCAAACCTTAAAACACATTTAAGAAGGCACACAGGAGAGAAACCCTTCAGCTGCTCTGACTGTGGGAAAAGCTTCAGGTATAGTTCAAACCTTAAAACACATTTAAGAAGCCACAAAGGGGAGAAACCATTCAGCTGCTCTGACTGTGGGAAAAGCTTCAGTCGGAATGCTAATCTTCTTATCCATAGGAGAACTCATACGGGGGAGAAACCCTTTTACTGCTCTGACTGTGGGAAAAGCTTCAGTAGTAGCACAGTCCTTAATAGCCACCAGAAAAGCCACAAAGAAGAAAGACCCTTTAGGTGCTCTGACTGTGGGAAAAGCTTCAGTCGGAGCTCAAATCTTCTTAACCATATGGGAGCACACACAGGAGAGAAACCCTTCAGCTGCTCTGATTGTGGGAAATGCTTCAGTCACAGATCATACCTTCTTCTCCATAGGAGAATCCACACAGGGTATAAACCTTTCAACTGCTCTGACTGTGAGAAATGCTTCACTCAGAGGTCACAACTTGTTAAACACAGGAGAACCCACACAGGAGATAAACCCTTCAGCTGCTCTGACTGTGGGAAAAGCTTCAGTTGTAGCTCAAAGCTTGATACACATTGTAGAAGCCACAAAGGAGAGAAACCCTTCAGCTGCTCTGACTGTGGGAAAAGCTTCAGTTGTAGCTCAAAGCTTGATACACATTGTAGAAGCCACAAAGGAGAGAAACCCTTCAGCTGCTCTGACTGTGGGAAAAGCTTCAGTTGTAGCTCAAAGCTTGATACACATTGTAGAAGCCACAAAGGAGAGAAACCCTTCAGCTGCTCTGACTGTGGGAAAAGCTTCAGTTGTAGCTCAAAGCTTGATACACATTGTAGAAGCCACAAAGGAGAGAAACCCTTCAGCTGCTCTGACTGTGGGAAAAGCTTCAGTTGTAGCTCAAAGCTTGATACACATTGTAGAAGCCACAAAGGAGAGAAACCCTTCAGCTGCTCTGACTGTGGGGAAAGCTTCATTTGGAGGACGCAGCTTGTTAGGCATTGGAGAACCCACACAGGGGAGAAACCAAATACCAGAAGTGGGGAAAACCTTTTAGCAAGCAGGTTCAAAGCCTTAGGTGGGCCTGATTCTGATTCAGAATCAGGCCCACCTAAGGCTTTGATCCTGCCCATGAGATAGTACCAGGTCCCACGTCTTTATGGGCATGTATTGCAGGGGAAAGAGCTCAGCCCGCCCCTCTTTCTGCCATGCAGACACTGGAGAGGAGGCAGCGCTGGGACTGAGGGTCCTCAATGGCACCTCAGTCATACGGACTAGGGCTGGCCTCCAAAATTCAAGGCACCACTGCACCTCTGGCCTCCAAAGCTAGGTCATGGTCACAGCCTTAGACTCTCATGCTTCTGGAGCCATGAGGCCATGGCTGTAGTGCCTCTGGGGCCAGCCCTTGGCTGCATGGTTGTAGCAGTGGTGCCTGCAGTCCCATGTGGCTGCAGCAGTGACACTTCTGGTCTCCAGGGCTGACCTGCAGCTGCATGGCTGCAGCAGCAGGACGTCCCTCTGGGGCAGGGTGTGGCTGGAGATGTTGCTGCAAGGGGTTACGAAGCCAGGTAACATTCTCCCTCATTCCCAGACCTGTCCCACCCAACCCCCTCACTTCCCTCCCTTCACCCCCAGCTTGCTCTGACAATCCCCTTGTTCTTGCACCTTCTCTCCTGATCACACTCTGCCTCTTCTCTTGTTCCTCCTCCCTCCACCTGGCCAGACACTGCTTCCAGCCTGCTTCTACACCCCAGCTCCCTCTCAAATCCTGCTCCCCATCCTTGTCCTCTTTCCTGGCAGCCCTGTCTCACACACTGTGCCCTACATCAGTGAGCATTGGGAAGGTTTGGAGGGTTGGTTGTGAGGTTTTTTTTTTTTTTTCCTTCTCAGTTCTGTGGTCCCCAACTGGTGTTTCTGTGGGTCAGCAGTAGTGTGGTTGCTGACCCACAGAAGCAGAGGAGTAGCAGTGTTAGCTTGACTTGCATCTGACGAAGTGGGTCTTTGCCCACAAAAGCTTATGCTCCAATAAATCTTTTAGTTTATAAGGTGCCACAGGACTCCTCGTCACTTTGACAGATCCAAGCTAACACAGCTACTCCTCTGCTTCTGTGGGTCAATGACCATGACCCAAAAATGGTTGTCCACTACTGCTTTAAATAAAGAAAACATTGAAACCTTTTGTGTTGGTCATAATGTTTAAAAAGAAGTTTGACAAAGTAGCATGAGAAAGTGACAATACTTACTCTGTTTTATAATGTCAATTAAACTGATCTCCCCATCTGCTGCACTAGCAAAATGGCTCAAATGTAATTATATAATTAGCTGTGAGTGTCCATTAGCAACTGGTAGTTTGTGGAAATGTTTGCATGGACCCAGGTGGAACACAGGGCATGTAGTGGAGAAAGTGTGGCCAAAACACAGGCCTTGCGGTGAGCAGGGTTTGCATCTGTGCAAGGGAAACCCTATTGAATTTCAATTCCAACACCTTAACCACTCAGCCATGACAGGTATAAGCTCAGCAGTGCCCCCAGGGCCAGGGAAACTGGTAAATAATCCCAGTTCCCAGGCCTGACGTCACTTGCCACAGAATTCACATAGCAAACCTGGCTCCTAGCACATGAGGGCTGTGTCTAGACTGCATCCCTTTTCCGTAAAAGGGATGCAAATTAGACACATCGCAATTGCAAATGAAGCGGGGATTTAAATCCCCTCTGCTTCGTTTGCATAAAAATGGCTGCCGCTTTTTTCCAGCTCGGAGCTTTGCTGGAGAAAAGTGCCAGTCTAGACGCAGATCTTTCAGAAAATAAAGCCTTCTCCGAAAGATCCCTTATTCCTTATTTTAAGAGGAATAAGAGATCTTTCAGAAAAGGCTTTATTTTCCGAAAGATCCGCGTCGAGACTGGTGCTTTTTTCCGGCAAAGCTCCTAGCCGGAAAAAAGTGGCAACCATTTTTATGCAAACGAAGCAGGGGGATTTAAATCCCTGCTTCATTTGCAATTGCGATGTGTCTAATTTGCATCCCTTTTATGGAAAAGGGATGCAGTCTAGACACAGCCGAGGAGTTTGGGGTTTCCCTTCACAGGTTCAGATCCTGCTCCCAGTGAGCCCTGTGTTTTGGCCACACCTGTAACCAGGGCAGCAAGCTACACAACCCCTGAGGCACTGTTCTCACGCTCCCCCTCCCTTGTCAATCCCCTTCTGTTCCTGTCAGAGATGCCTGGGATGGTTCCTCACGCTGGGTCCCTGAGGTCTCAGGCAAACTCTCAGCTGCCCCTCGCCCAGCCTGCCTGTGTGGGACTGTACCTGCTGTGAACAAGGATGAGATGCTGCTTCGTTCCCAGCCTGCCTAGTTTCTGAGGCTTAGATGGTGTTTGTGATTATTTCTTGGGTGATCTGCTTTGCCCTGTGCGCTCACTGTTTATGTAACTTCAGCCCATCTCTCTGGAGTAAGAGAGGTTCCATTGCCTTTCTCTAAACCACGGTGTGTAGCTAAATGTGCTGCAGGAACCTGCACAGGAACAACAGCTGGTGTGTTGGCCTCACCACACTGAGGAGCGGGTGCCCAGGGTAACACACCGGAGCTAGGTCTATACGAAGGCTTCTTGCTCATGAACTCTTGAGCTCTTGTACAAAAAGGCCTATTCCTCATATAAAGTGGGATAACTGCCACAAAAAGCCCTGTGTTCTTATATGATTTATGATACTTTTTCTTGCACAAGAACGGGCTTGTAGTGTGGATGCGCCTCAAGTTTTTGCACAAAAATGGCCGTTTTTGCACAAAACCTCAGGCTACGTCTAGACTGGCATGATTTTCCGCAAATGCTTTTAACGGAAAAGTTTTTCCGTTAAAAGCATTTGCGGAAAAGAGCGTCTAGTTTGGCACGGGTGCTTTTCTGCAAAAGCACTTTTTGCGGGAAAGCGTCCGTGCCAATCTAGACGCAGTTTTGCGCAAGAAAACCCTGATTGCCATTTTCGCTATTGGGGCTTTTTTGCCCAAAACAATACCGCCTTGTCTACACTGGCCCTTTTGCGCAAAAGCATTTGCGCAAGAGGACTTTTGCCCGAACAGGAGCAGCATAGTATTTCCGCAAGAACACTGACAATCTTACATGAGATCATCAGTGTTCTTGCAGAAATTCAAACGGCCAGTGTAGACAGCTGGTAAATTTTTCCGCGAAAGCAACTGTTTTTGTGGAAAAACTTGCCAGTCCAGATGTAGCCCTGCAGTATAGATGTAGCCTCACACTGCTCAGGCTTGTGACCGAGGCAAGACAGGACAGGGCTGGAGAACCAGGCTTTGGAGATGTGAAGGAACCTTACAATAGCTGGGTCTGTCCTAGGCTGTGTAAAGCCTTGTGTGAGGGCAGGGTCGGGGGGATTCCCACCACATTCCAGCAGCACAGAGCAAGAGGGGCCCAGGCTGGGGAGACACAGGGCATGGAGGGTCCCAGTTTCAAGTGGCAAACCAGCGGGCCCCGCACAATAATCAATAAGGGTATGTCTACACTACCCCACTAGTTCGAACTAGCGGGGTAATGTAGGCATACTGCACTTGCAAATGAAGCCTGGGAAATTCAAATCCCGGGCTTCATTTGCATAAAATGGGCGCCGCCATTTTTAAATCCCTTCTCGTTCGAACCCCGTGCCGCGCGGCTACACGTGGCATGAACTAGGTAGTTTGGACTAGGCTTCCTAATCCGAACTACCGTTACTCCTCATTCCATGAAAAAAGCCCAGAAATCAGAGAGAGTTTTCTGGGGCTGGCCAGTTTTACTGTAACCAAGGGGAAAGTGTCTCTACCTGTGTGCCTGTGGCAGATGGCTGTGTCTGTGCAGGGGGGCAGTGAGCCTGTGAGTGAGGGACCCAAGGGCCTGTCTGATGCCTCAGGTGAGGCTGGAATCAGAACCAGGGCAAGAAGGGCCCAGAAGTCAGGGAAATCTCTCCCCATATTTGCAGTACCAAGCCCTGTGTGCAGCGAAGCCTGTCAGTGTAAGGAAATTGCTGAAAGAAGGTGCCTGTTCAGTCTGAGCACAGGGCTGTTGTGCATGTGTTTGTGATACAGACCCACAAGTGTGGCCCTGGGATCACTTCCCTTTGTCGAACCAAAAACGCTTCTCTCTGTTTAGGCAGCTAACAAACAGCTTTATTAATTAATAAAGCACAGCATGAGCCAGACATGGTCCCAGCAGAGCGGGGACCAGTAAGTCTGGCTAATACTATCAATCCTAGTATCTTTATACCCTTAGCCAAACAGTCTTGACGTCAGGGCACCCAATTACAGAAATCATCAATTAAACTTGGAAAAACAAAGTCTTATCAGCAAGATGGCGGACAGGTACGAGGGAGTACATCTCTGTCCCAACCAGCCCAATTAACACATACCAATAGCCCATCCTGTAGGCCTCTTCTCACAGGGTGACAGAAAGTTCACTCTGGTCTACGTGCTTGAGAGAAAAGCTGAAATGGTTTCTGATATACAAGATGGCTTCTAGCTAAATATGAAAATGGTTTCTACAGCTTCTAACAGCTCCCCCCTTTTAGCCTTTTAAAGGCTAACCTGGAAACCATTTTATACCTCCATTTCCATTAAAGTATTTATGTACATTTCTTGTTCCTTTCTCTGCTCATCCTATTTTAACATCATGAGTTCCACATTCCCTTTGGTAAGGGTCTGTCTTGTGTTTTCCAGAATACAAGAAATACAGCAATTGATTAACAAGAAACAGCAATAAGCGCAAAAGAATATAGCCAATACTAAAACTACTTGCAAAATCCAAGTTCCCACATGTCCAAACCAGCCTCCCAACCAACCCGAGGGTTCACTTTTCCTCCTGTCTTAGGCTTTCCAGTTTTTTTTCAATCTCTGAGACATCTTCCTCTACTTGCTTGCTGGTGTCCGTAATATACACACAGCATTCTCTTCCCACTAAGGCACAAACCCTGCCCTTACTTCCTAGGACGTAGTCTAGGGCCATTCTGTTTTGGCTTTTTCCCACCCTGGCTCCTGAACCATTACATGTCCAGCAGTACTTTCCAATTGGGGTCAGGGCTAAGCGGATATACCCTGGGTTAGTAAACCCTTTATCCTGCCAAGTATCATTTGGCTTTAGTTCACTAAACAGTGTGCCATTCATTTGAATGTTGTTTAGTGGGACTGGAATCATTGGGATACCTCCTTCTGAATGTACAGGACTGTGAGCACATATCCAGCAACCTGTGGAATTAAATTCTTGGGAAACTTGATTCATTAAAAGCATGAATACATTTGAACCATATAGGTTATAACTGCTAGGTATTAAAAACAAGATTAAGCATAAGCTCAACATGAATTGTTTGTCCATCCTTACGCTGGCTGTTCTTCAGGACTTTGTAGTTTGCTTCACCTATCACTGGCAGGTTCTTTGGGCTGCAGCTGGTACCTTGGCCTCAGTCTCTCAGGATCATCTGCTTCTGGGCATGGATTGCCAGTACCGAGCCTGTGCTGATCCCCATCTACTTCTGGACCTGGGTTTCTGGTACCAGGTCTGCGGTGCTCCTTGTTGGGGCCAACCTCTTTAGGGGCTGGAACTGGTTTGCATGAATCCAGGCGGGCAATCTCTCACACTTTAAAGCAGTATGAGTGGTCAGAAGGACTTGATAGGGACCCTTTCACCTGGGTTCCAGGGCAGTCTTTTGCAGGTGAACCTTCATGCAAACCCAGTCTCCTGGTTGTAGTTTATGGCATGGCTCAGTCGGGGCCTCCTGGAATGCATCCTTAACCTATGAATGATAAGACTGTACACACCTCATAAGTTCCTGACAATACTTGACTATGCTTCCTTTAATAAGTGTGACATCAGCCAGGTCAATTTCTGGGCTGCTTAACAATCTCATAGGTCGGCCACATGCAATTTCATGTGGACTGAGTCCAGTTTTCTGATTAGGAGTGGCTCTCATGCTCATTAGGGTAATTGGGAGTGCTTCTACCCATGTTAAGCCAGAGTTCTCACATATTTTAGCAAGTTTGTTCTCTAAAATCCTGTTTCATCTTTCTACTTCTTCTGCGCTCTCCGGGTGTCACGGGCAGTGCAGTGCTTGTCTAATAGAGTAGTACTTTGCCAGTTTTTGAACAATTTGTCCAGTAAAGTGTGTACCTTTTCACTGGAGATCACAAGGTGTATTCCCCATGATGGGATGTAATGATTCAGAAGTTGGTTTTTTTTGCCACTGTGATGGCATCAGCTTTCCTGCAGGGATAAGCTTTTACCCATCCCAAAAACAAACAAACAAACAAACAAACAAGCAATAACCAGCACATTATTCAAAAGATTGACATTTAAGCAATTGAATAAAGTCCATTTGTAAATTCAGGAATGGTCCGAAAGGCGGAGGTCTGGTTGCCGGAACTGTCTTTACAGGTTTACCCATGTTGTGGGCTTGGCAGACAGGGCAAGCCAGACAGTAATCTTTGGCTGCTTGGGAGAATTTAGGAGCAAACCAATTTTTTTTAGGGTTGCTACCATCCCCCCTTTGCCAATGTGTGACAATCCAGGGAGCACGGAGGCAAGATGAGGTAGCAAGACCACGAGGGCAACAATGTGACCATCAGAGCTTCACCACAAGTGGTCTGGATGCAAGGTGCACCCTGCCAGTCTCCAC